CATATTATTATTATGGTTTCATTTGTTTTTAAATATTTAAAAATATATAAAATATTAATTAAAAATAATAAAAATGTATAAAAAATATTTAAAAATTAATTTGTATTTTTAGATAAAGTATTGTGTGAAAAAAGCTTCATATCTAGCATAGTTTTGAAACTCAATTTGCCTCTCTCGGTTGAACCAATTGAACTAGACTTGGTTACAAAAAATGAGTCATGTATATGCTCAAACCCATTTTGAATAAAAACTCGACAAACTTGGCCAACCCAATTAACCCATTGGTCAAACCTGGTCAATTTCAAAGTCTTTTTTTTTTTTTTTAATTTTTAAAATTTTTGCTTTTTATGCATTATATTTTTTTAGTTACATGTATTTAATTAAAATTTACTATTTAAGTTGCCTTTAAAATAAGTTTTAAGTTATTTTTAAGGTGATTGTGTTTTGAAAATAAGATAATATCAATATATAATATTAAAATATATTAAAAAATATTGAAAAAGTCAAAATTTTAATTGTTTGATCAAACTAATTAATTGAATTGGTTGAACCAAATTCGGTGCTAAAAACGAGTCAATTACCAAGTTGGGTTTTGAAACATTGATATGAAGTATTATGAAACAAAGTTTATATCTACATTGAATCTAAGGTCAAGTGGTTCAACTAGCAACTAGCTAATTGCACTGAATTTAAAGAGGTGCCTTAACTGTTTAAAAGCACGAAATTCTAACTTGAAGATCTAATATTAGAATCTTGAATAGAGTGAGAGAGATTTGAGGAAAAAAAAAATATTCTTTTTTATATAATTCGTCATTGAATGTATCAAAAAATTATCAAATTTAGTTAAAAAGAAATTAAACAAATTACTATGCACTCGATTATTATATATATTTGGTACTTTAACCTTTGTAGGACATAAATACAAAGCATAGGTTATATTTTTTTATGATATTTGTTTGAAATATTTATTTTATAATTTTTTTAATCTCCTAAGGATGTATTTATTTTTTTTATGCCTTGAACAATTGTATTTTTTATTATTAATTGTAATAAAAATAAAAATTAATTTCAATTTAATTTACTAATTATCTAATTAAAAATTCATATAAATTATTGTTAAAAATAAAATTAATTTTTATTTTTTCGAACAAATTAGTAAAAATATATAGTAAATATATTCTTAAAGGGTTGTAAACACTTTATTTATTTTTTGCGCTAAAGACTACGATGCACTTTTAGGTGGAACTGTTCCAGTCGCTAGTTAGCCTAGTAGCAAGTAGTGATGTACGTGTAACACAATCAGCTTAGAGTGACACGTGCTAATTCAAAATTGAATCGACATTGGCAATAATGAGGTGAGAATGACTGCCCTTGTCAAAAAGAGTCATAAATTTAGAGGAACTTTTAACCTTTAAATTAAATTTTTTCTAATAATCTAGTGAATTAATCCCTCCATTTAACTTTAATAATTTTATTTTGACTTTTTTAATTTTTCAAATATAAATTTCACATAAAAACTTAATATATTATATAAATATCAATTAAAATCTTTTTATCAACTAAAAATATGCAACAAAAATTATATATAAGAAAAAAATTTTAATTGTTATTTATATAAATTATTAAATTTTTATTTAACATTTATATTTGAAAAATTAAAAAATCTAAGATTGATAAAATTAAACTGAGAAAGTATTTTCTTCTAAATACATTAGATATATTTAGTGGATATATCTTTAAAATTACTTAGATTAAGATTGATTTTAAAATGTGCTCAAATTAAATAAAATTTTTTTTGACTATCCAAACCAATAAATAAACTATATATATATATATATTACTTTCATGAATTTCCATGGTATTTGTTGTCGATTAAAAGGAATTCAATTCTTCACTAACATAAACAATTAATTCTCCTAAACTTAAATAATCTCAAAATTTGATGTCTTTTTCCTTTTCAAAATAAAGCCTTTCAAGATGTAAAGAATCACTTTAGATAGGTAAAGAATTTGCTATTTTCAAATCAAACTATACAATAAAAATATAATTTAGATACTAAAATTATTAAAATATTAAAAATAAAGTAATATAAAAAAGAACTTGATTAAGAGTATTTTAATAAATTTATAAATTTCACTACACTTTTATTATGCAAACCACCTAAAAACTCTTTATATATATATATATATATATGTATGCATATATGCAAATTAGAACTTTAAAATTTATTAGTAGAGTATTATCTAATTTTTTATAATAGTACTATCTTTATTCCAAAATAACTACTATTAAACTTTTATTTAAAATTTGTCTTCAATTAATTTTCATACAAATATGTTTTTCTTATTTTAATTCT